CTGGCTGGGGAATTCTGGGAGTTGAAGTCCACTCATCTTAAAGTGGCCAAGTTTGGACAACACTACCTTAGGTTAAAGAATGGTACCCATTACAAGGAAACTGAATCTTCACATTTACTTTCTGAAATGACAACCCCATTATAGTCTTCAGAAAAACACTCACCTTTTATCATCTGTTGGCACTGCATTGAGTCACAGGCCCCAGGGCTACCTTCTGTGTCTGTAGATGATTCTTCATCATCAATGTTAATTTCTTCAGTCATGATGTCTGGCCCCAGTTTTGCCATATACAACATGCTGATTCTTTTCAGAGTCTTGTTCTCTTTGTTTAGCTACAAAACGTCAAGTATTTATGTTGTTGCTATGATTTCCTTATACATTTTTTCCTTCTTTAGGAAAATAAATGTCAGTTGCTATAAGGTCACCAATGAGTTTAGCTGATGAGAACAAAATTAATGGATTTTTCATTAGCCACACTTAAATTGTGGAACTCCTTGTGCTAGAAGGATTACTGACATCTTTTAGTATGACATGTTAGTGATTGTGATCTATAAAACCTCTTTATTTAAAGAAGTATGCTTCATTGTATCTGATACAATTTTATCTCCTTGATATATTTTATTTTATGGTTGTATTTTAGTGCTGGCTGCCCTAAATGATGCATAGGCCGCAAAAGAGAAAGGTACAAAGCTTCATAGAAATAAAATAGGGATAGCATTCCTTGAGACATCAGTTGGGATGTTAATAGAGCATGTATAGGCACTTTTTCAGGTTAAGATTCAACCCTGGCTTTTGTCTTGCATTTGAGGAACATGGATGATGCTGTAAAAATATTAAATGTTATTTATTTACTTCAAATTTAAGCTTAATTAAAACACCATGAATATCATATTAATTGTATCATTTATTTATTTAATCATTTCCTCCTATCTTATTAAAAAAGATAATTCAGCACAACTTTTAGAGGAATTCTGAGGGCTGCATTCAAGATTTAGAAGTTGTATACCTCCATAATACATAAAGCATAAAACATGGCTCCTGAAAGTCAGCTTCAAACATATGAAGGCTAGTATTTGGTTATATCCAAGGATACCTTTCTTCAAACTAAAAGAGCTTCTTCTGGAGAAAGACAATCTTTGGATGTAATTTAACCATTTTTTTTTCCCAGTTGTGACTTCTCCTGTTAGGGAAGAAAGGGTTTAGTTGGAAGTACCTAGGATCATCAGCTTGGCCATGAATATATGAGCAGTTAATATAAGCCATAGGCACCCCAATCTCCCAGCTTGATAAGAAGGTGGATAAATGTCTGTGTTCATCCCAAGTCTTCTCCTGTAGCTGCCTCCATTGCTGTGTGCAGCCCACATTTCTCAGTCTCAAATGCTAGCATATATCAAACAGAGATTAAAGGAGGGTTTTAGCTACACTAACAGCTGTGGTAATTTTTCCCCCTCTTTATTCAAACATATACATAGGCAACCCAGCTCAGATTGTGTCCCAAACTAAGTCTCAATCCTATTTAGGAGCCCTTCATCTGTAATTGACATTGGCAAGAAAGTATTTTGGTTGATCCAAAAAAAGCAGATCCCGCACATGTGGGAAAAACACTAGGAGGAAAAAAACCTGTTGAAAGGAGTTGGAAGCTAAGACGCTCTGGAAGAAGGAAAAGAGACGCTTGGAAACCTTGGCTTCCAACGGCTTCTGCGTGCAGTAATTTGGACAGTTCCCAAAAAATACTTAGTGGCAGTTTCTATTACAATGTGACATTCAGCTGACCAGCAGAAATCTCTTGGTTTAAACTAAATGGTCAGAACAAGTCCCAATCTATTTATCAATTTCAGCACCTCATTTGTATCTGCAGCTATAATACAAACACAAAAATTTATTTTAGAAAGTAGACATTACCAATACGATCCATGAGAAATGAAATGATTTGAACATGGAAATGTTTAACGTGCAAGAGAAATGGGTTAAAAAGGCCAACCTCTTTTTTGCCTTTAGGATATCTTGTTAGCTGTTACTTCTAAAGATATGGGGAGGGAGGACACGATATAGCTATAATTGTGAACTCTTCCCTCTCCCCGTAATTTGAGCATTTCTGGAGATCCAGGGACTACACAATAGCCCTTCCCTTCTGTAAATACACGCCATGACTTTAATCATCCATGCATATACTGTGGCTTTCATTTTGGAAATCCATAGAGTTCTAAACTTTGTACTATCAGGCTTCAATCTCAGATGGAAGCTTTTACACATAGGTCAATGCTTTTAGTTATACATATTTAATTATATCCAATGATACATGATCATCAAGTTCATATAGTGAGTTCTATACTTTAATGGATTAAGTTACAGCTCCACATAGGTAGGCACTTTCTCATCCTTCTCCTGAAATGGCACAACAGATAATGTAATTTAAAATTTTGCTCCTTGCTTCAATATATAGAAAGAAAAAAGGATACAAAAAAAGGAACAACAAAATCGAAGAGGAAGAAAAAGGAAATGGGACAAAGGCTTATAATGCATATAAATAACAGCTCCATTTCTAATTACCTTGGCCACACAGAGTAATATTGATCAGTTTTTTTCATCACGTCAATAGAAACTCAGTTCATAAGCCAAAAGACAACACATATCAACAATCCAAGATTGTAAATTGGAATAACGCTGTCTTTCCGATGCAAAAGAATAATAATTTTTGCTCTGACCATACTCAATAGATATGAGTATAAATAGTTCTTCATACAATAATAGATTCCAAATTCTGGGAATAACATTCAGAATCATATTCACACCTTTAAACTATTAATTTTTCCAAAACTATATTAACTAGCTTACAAAATAAATGAGCCTAAAGTATGGCTCCATTACAGGGAGAAAAATGATAATTACCCCAAAGAAAAATTAACTGAAGGGTCCTCTGTGTTGTAAAATTGGAAGGACATGGGTCACAGCCCACTGCAAAGTGGAACATGTAGGTGAACATAGATGCCAGCATTCTGTTTCAACAAGAGCTATACTGTCACTGGATTTGAAACAAAAACATTTTTAAAATACAGGTTAGAAATGCAGGCAGCAAGTTTTTAAAACTAAGAGCAGGCCTTAAAGTTAGATGTTTAAATTACTTCTACACTGTTTGAAACCTAGCCAAGTTCTCACTTCAAATGTAGTTTACTGCTTTAATTAAAGCAGGTATAGATGCTCTGATTCTCTGATTTTATTTTTTTAAAATAGCTTTTAAGAAAGCAAGACAAGGGGAAAAAGAAAGACCTGCAAAAAAGAAGCGGGAAAAATCCATTTTGAGAGAAGTACAGTACAACATAGAATAGAATGGCAAAGTGAAATCATCGAACTTATTTCCACACTCTCCAATCCCTTTGTTTCTTTCATTTCTGCCCTTGAATGTCCAGTTTCATTAATGAAAGGATATTGTTAGAAGGTAGTTATGATTACTGATCACTGGTAGTACTAGTGGTTATATATACACAAGCTCAAAGATGAATGAATGAATGAATGAATGAATGAATGAATGAATGAATGAATGAATGAACAGAAACTGAGAATGTTAACCCAATCTCTTGCACATCAGCATTTGATACCATTAGAATTTCAATGGTCCCATGATGTTCTGAAATATGAGACTCAAGGAGACACATTACACACCAGTTTATCTAGCCTTCAAATCAGGGTAGCACTGAGAGCCAAAACTGAAAAGGGAGCAACACACTCCGTATAAGCATGTATAATGATCCCGCAGCTTGGTGGGAAGAAGGTCATAACTGGAATGACATACAAAAATAATACCTCTGGCCCTTGCCATGAATAATTTTGCATTACAGAATGCACAACTAGCAACTTCTGTTACTAAGAAATAAACAAAAACAAAGAGAAGATCCAGAAAGTTAAAAATATTACTCCCCTTCTCCAAAACTACATGAATGATTATAAATCATCTTGAGGAAGTAAGAAATAAACTGCTCCAAGAGATGTCCTATTGGATACTGGTATGATTTCACCAAAGTGAAGTGTGGCCTGGTTTATGTTTAAAGAAGAGCCAGAGTTTGTTTGTTTGTTTTCACAATTCTAACTCATCAGGACCAAGCCAGTACATTGATGGATGCTGTCCGATCATGTATTGATGTATTTATTTATATATTTGATTGATAGATTGATATGGTCAACTTTGAACCAGTACATTAGTGCATGCTGTCCAATCATGTATTTATTTATTTATTTACTTGATATAGATATAGACATATAGCTATAGCTACAGATGATACAGATATAGATAGTCAGCTTTGTTACACCAGTCAAACAGGATGGTACCAATGTCTTACTTTAGTGTGTGTCATTCCATAAAAAAAATGGAAAGAAAAGATCCATAAATTCATGCTCTTACTGAGCTGTTCTCATCTTATAAATCCTTATGTATCGTTATGCAAACAATCAAGTAAATATCTCTAGAAAGTACATTATTAATGCATCCACATTAAAAAAAAATACTGTTGTGGAATTTCTGCCATATTTGAAGTAGTAGTTTGGGTAGGGGGAAAATTCACAAATGCACACATACACACACACTGTCATGGACCAGCCAACATTGCTAATGAAATTTGGTTCAAAATTGCTTCAATCCATTTTCTGATGATGAAGTGGTTGGAATGTGTTTTTCACAACTAAAAAAAAAAAAAAAACCTCAAAGTGATAAAAACATTCTTTAATAATAATAATGCACTTCTGATGAGATGGAATATAGAAAATTATATATTTGGCAAATTCATCAACCCAGATGCAATCAACAGAGCAGTGCAGGTCACCTTTTGCTTGCTCTGTAGTTTGCTTTCATAAACAATCACCTGAAATGTAATACTCTGCCTGACTTTTCCATTTGATTCAGACCCTGAAAAGCTCATTATTCTTTTATGTCACAGACACTCGGTGTACTTCTAAACGTGTTTATCCGTTAACCCAGATGCACAAAATACAAGGAGAAAAGGTGCCAAGGAATATGAATGAATATGAATATATATATATATCACAAATTACTTCTTTGAGGGAGTACTTCTCAAATTTTAAAGGAAACCTTTAAAACCAAGTTAGGAAAAAAGTTCTATATTTCAGGAGACTGCACATATTTGTAAAATAACAATTTTCTGTTGTCCTTATATCTTCTTCTCACTTCCCAGATCCAAGCATTATATTTCAGGGCCATTTCCAATAGAAAAGATTGTCACAGAAAACATTTACAAGTAGCCACATGAGATAATAGCACTTCTATATTTGGCCAAATTTCATTTACCAGTATGTGTGTATATATTTATGTGTATGTATATATGTGCGTGTGTGTCTGTGTCTGTGTACTGGTAAATGAAATATATATATATATATATGAAATATACATATATATATGTATGTATGTATGCATACAGCAAAATGAAAGTATTTTTCATCCTAACATGCTAATTTATATATATGAAACACATAATGAACTATTCTCCATGGAAGAATTTTATCATGGACAATAAGAGTATAGCCAACAACACCAAAAAGTGGAGGATGCTGAATGCATCTACATGTTCAATGTATTGACAGTATTTTGCACAACCCCCAGTGAGCAGATATGCTATACTAAACGATCCATCTTTACTCAGGAGAAAAACCCACATACTGTTTAAGAGGATTTCTGCTAAGTAATGCACAGGTGTATCTGCATTTAGTGACACTACCCCCAAAATAAGCCTGGTTAGAATTGTAGCCTCATTCCCTGAAGTAGATGTCATAGCTTCTCCAGTGTGCAGGTAGACAAGAAGGTATTGGCAAAGCTATTGTGTGATCTGAGTCCATTCTAACCATCCTGCTACCCTAAGACTATGACTTCTGAACAGAGAACATACAAAATTGCTTCTTACCTTAGTAGCCAGAGCTTCTGCGCTTTCACGACATGTCTTTTCAATCTCAAGATGGTTCTGTATACAGCTGACTTCCTCAATAACCATGTGAGAAACTAGAGAATTAGGGGAAAACCTATGATTCGTACAGTTTCATATGAGTCAAACCTTCCCCTTATATTGCTATTCAGAAGATCATCCTATGATTATGAATATCTTCTTAGACTATCACATAATGTTTCAGCATGTATATAATTGCTTTTCATATATCACAGACACTACCATATCAAACATAATAAATTATACATTCAGGAGATTATGAAAATAAAAAACCCTAAAAACTAAAACCTAAGGATAAAGGTGATGGACAGCATTTCCTACATCTACATATCTGGAGAAACAAAATTAACCCTGATCCTGTAACTATTTCTTTAAAATGAAAGTTCATTAAAAAGGAAGGAGCAAGAAAGATTACAGCTTAAAATTCTGAGGAGAAACTATTCAACATTAACCCTCTTCCTAATTTCTTTTCCCCCCCTATTCCCATGCTCTTGGCTCCCACTCAGGAAAACCTCCCCAGTGCTCTAGTCACACAAAGGTACACCTTGATGTGCCACTTCATGCATCTGATGAGGTGAGCTGTTGCTCATGAAAGTGTATGCCTTTTGATAAAATTTATTACCCTGAACAGGTGCTACCAGACTCCTGATTTTCCTTTATTATCTGGGGTTTTTTTTAAGTTGGTATACTATTTCTTTTCCCTTTCTTTTATTTTTGAACACATCTGAAGAAGACATTTTGGTTCCTTTTAACATCCTTCCCCAATTACATCTCATTCTGAGATTTGGCCTTTCTGACACAATCTCTGCAATTCCAGGCTATCCCTACAGTATGTGCTCTTCCTTAGTGAGATCACTCTTTGTACTCCTGGATGTTTGCTTTTATTTTCAAATCTTCACTAAGGTTTCCATGCTGCCACACTGACTTCTTTTTTTTATCTTTCATTTCACTATGGGAGTTTATTTTACACCAATGTACTTGTGGCAGAAAAAAGAAAATTGCCAAGAAGACTGTAACCCATCCTTGGTCTGTTTCATCCAAGATTTCTTCCACTGACTCTTTAGCCCCTGTCCTTCCTTGTTCATCATTCTCTACTCTCTATTAACCCAAAAGGCTGACCAGCTTCTGCTATCAGGAAGAGGACACTTAGGAGCAATTGAGTCATTTCTATATTCCAAAGATCTCTCAGATGCCTATGCAAAAGCGTTAACTCCTCCATTTCTTAGGCCTCATTAAATCCTCATAAAATTTAAATACTCTAACTCTGGAACCACCAGAATTTAGATCTGTCAAAAGATCTATTGTGGAATTTATCCCTATAAATTGGCTCTTGGAACGCTTTATCCATCCTGTATATAGTATATCCCTAAACAGGTTTAAACCTTGGGAGGAAACTTCTCCATATAGAGTGACTATTTTTGTCCCTTCTTCACCAACCCAAATGTAATTCTTTTTGATAGGCAAAAATCTACAGCTACAGGTCAGTCTTGCTGCCCCAACATGTCATCCAGATTATATTATTTAAAAATTATTCTGTCATTTACACTGTTAGAGAGAAATTTTCTTGCAGCAGGGGTGCAAAAAATGCAGCCCAAATACAACTGTAGCCTGCTAACATCTCTTCTGCAGCATCAAAGCATCCCAAGAGTGCTCTCTCTTTCTGACCTCTTTTAAATGTGGTCAGGGGAAAACAGGACATTGTTTAGCCTTGTACAGATTTCAGACTCCTATTTTACCCTTTAAAACTCCTGTACCACTTCCCCCCCAAAGATATCCTGATTCTGCCTACTTTTAGAGTGTGGTCCTTAGCAAACTAGGTCAAGCCTAAGTAATCTCTTGGGCCATTGGAAGTTGCACATGCCTACCTGGCATGTTCAAAATCAAGTCCTTTACAGCTCCATAGGTATGGAGTAGTGCTGAAAACTATGCCTTAAAAGCAACACAAGAGCAATGACACGCTCCGTAATTATTATTTATGCTTTGAGTTCTGTGAGCTTCTGGCACTGTACCATGACAGAGATGAAAGCAAACAGACTTAACCCAAGGAGATATACTGAGATACTGTGCATTGTGCTCCAGCTAGGCCTGGAGCACTGCCACATGGCAGTAGCTTCTTGGGTAGAAAAGGTAAAACCAAAACTGGCCAGGGAAATTCTCTATGCTGGGATCATGTAATCAAAGAATGCAGAGGCAAAAGAATTGGCACAAGCACCCATACTTTAAGAGGCTTATCTTCTATTAGGTCAGCCCAGGCCATCCATTTCTGCTGTGTGCCATGAGCCAAGAACAGGAATAAGCAATGTGTGCCATGCAGAGATACTGTCAGCAAATGGAAAGAGTGTAGAAAACATGAAAAGATGCCCCAAGTAGTCTGTGCTGCATGTTGCAAAGGAAAAATAACAGTCACCAGCCAACTTGCTTCAGACCACAATCATATACAGTTACTTGGGAGTAAAATTCTATTAAGTCATTGTAATTTACTTGAATGGACTCAGCTGCATATAGGCATAAAGGAAACTATTGCCTCTGAACTGAGAGTACGAGTGATCACTTAAGCTCAGAAAGTAAAGTGCTTTACTACACTTGACTACCATATTATTTTTAAGGTATATGTATAAAATATTTTACATTTAAAACTGAACACATAAAGCATACACCTGGCAAATATGTAGTGCAATCAGAACTAGTTATTTCTGTTTCACATACATGCAACATAAATATACTATGAAAAACACTAGGAACAGAAAAAGAATTGATTGTTCACGTGGCATATTGTTCTTACATATAAACCAATGACCAAAAAAAATTAAATGCACCCTAGTTGTTTTATCCAAGCAGCTTTGTTATTTCCTATAGTTAGCTGAGATTTTTTTTAAAAAAAATGTCCTATAAAGTTCTGAGAATAGCAGAAATAGAAAATTAACTAAACGCAAATGAAACATAAGGTTCTTTAAAAAAAAATCTATCTCCTAGAGATAACTCATGGTTCATTTAAGATTAGTTAACCTGCAATTATGATTAAATTTCCAAAGGGGAAAAATCTTTAAAAATTAAATAGAAAGAAAAAAAAGATACTACTTTGTAAGACTGTCCCAAGTTCTTCCTAGGTTGATATTAAAATTCATAAAGCAGCACTAAGTGGCCAGAACCCTCTCCAACCTCAACATTTTTTCAGGGGTAATAATAATATGCAGCAAATGCAGGCCAACCAAAAACCACTTAACTAATTAGTAGTTGCAGTCACCGAGAAAACATGAATCAACACTGTTATTACAAGTGGCACATTTGAGTGGCATCTAATTATGACTTGATGAGCGTGATACTTGCATTATCAACATTACTCCCGCATCCCATCAGGGACTAAAAGCCGCTGATGGCATTGACTGCAAGAAACTCCCACTCAATGGCACTGCAGCACCCAACAATCTCCTTGGCAGGGGCACCCTCACTAAATGGCACGTTAAGCGTAATTACTGGCCGACATTGTAAATAAACAGGATTGGAAGTGAAAATTGTACCAAGTGCATAAGACACAATCTGACACATTGGAAGTGGCAGCCTTAATTGAGAGTTTCTTTGACTGTTCAAGATCATTTCAACCGCATTTCTCGGAGGACAGTGATTATAACTGTGGAGACAGACGGCATAATGGTATCAGCACTGCTGACAGAGCAGTGAATTAAATTGTATCTGCTGTTGTGTGAAAGCCTTGATGAGAAGTACAGATCCTTAGTGGTCTTATCATTATCACACAATGGTCATGTTGTCATCAACCTTTCTGGCTCCAATTGAAAAGAAATGATTGTGTGGTGAAGCGTCCCCCTCCCCTTCCCCCACCTTCTATCTCTTGTGCTGAATAGAACCAATTTTCAGAGAGCTATGAAATCACGCTATAGGGCCTAAAATGCAGCTGCTTGGCATACAAACTGGGCCCCATTAAACAGGAATCAGGCACAATATGTGTTTATGCCGAGAGAACAAATAGAAGCTGAGCACAGGCCAAGTTTATTCACAGACACAAAGCCCATGTAGCTCTTCATCAATATAATTGCCTTTTATATTGTCATTTAAATAATGGGCTCCATTATTGCTGTAAAATCCTAATATTCCTGGCATTTATTGCTATGTTTACAAGATATGTCCTTTTTTTTTTTAAAGGAAGGTAGAAAAAAAAAGAATCAGAAAAAAAGTGAAAAGGAAGATAAAAGAAACCTATGAGATTTTACAAAAGCAAATACTACTTTTGAATTTTAAGTCTAAGCTACTTGACATTTCCTGACTGTTTTCTGAATTGCCAATATCATAACAAACACAAATAGGCCACAAGGTATTTGTGTATGTTTACACATGATACTCATTCCCTTTCTTTTTCACAGGAATTTGACTTACAATTAGAAAATGTTTGCCACTTAGGGTGATAGCCTAAAGTTTAGGATGGTTTTGTAGGAGGCATTTCATAAATGGCCTATATATAAACTAGGGTAAACAAGAGTTGTGTAAATTCCTTTGTCAACTCCACAGTAGATGCAAGGTGCCTAGGCTTTTCTTTTTTATTAATCCAACAAAATATACTATATCAACAGACAGCTAACATAACAGGCTGTGATACTTTTGTCATCTTTCTCAAGAAGCTATTCACAAGAGCTTTTCTGCTCCCATTAGCTGTGTTTTGTTACCTTCAGACCCCACACTGGATCAATAGAAGCGTTGTCTTGTAAGGGGAAATCTGGTTATTTGGCAGGATGGGTGAGTTGTTCACATACTTATCCCTTGTGCCAGCTGAAGCCAACATCACACCTATTTTAAATCTGGTGATGCTTGATTTTACACGAAGAGAGGCTCTGAAGCTGAAGAAGTCCACAACCCTGGGCTTTTGATCCATAAGCAAATAGGGCTTCTCTGAGACAGGAAACCTGGGTGGAATTTCTTCTCCTCTCTGACTGCAAACCAATAAGTATCAAAAGAAAGTATGTACAAGTAGGTGCAAAAGGTAAACAAAACAGGACAAGGGCTCCTTTTCATTATAACCTCTTGAAAGGAATATATCATCCAGAATTTTTTTTTTAAAAAAAGAGCTTTTAGTTTTTGCTAATAAGAAAAAAATTGTTCTCTTATTGGCTATTTGGACTCTGGATGTTTTAAAAATAGGGAAGCCATTAAGCTGATAATGGATGCAAGAAAGCAAAAGCAAAAAAAAAAAAATCAAATGCTTATAATCAGTAATATATAAATTTTAATTAATTGTATGTGTAATGTTTATGCTAGGTCTTTTGGAAATAAATCACTCCTTCTTAGTCAAACCAATACTATCCAGACTAATGGAGTTTAAAACAGCATTACTCTAATTGAATTATGCAATTTGTGAGTCATGAAAGATTGGAAAGTTAGCAAAATGGAAGTAACTCCTTGGCAAGAAAATGCAAAAGGAATAAATGAACAGATCTTTAAGAAGATGAGCTGTGCCCTGTGAAAACATCAGACAGCTTTTCTGTCAGGCTGTAATATCTTAGAGAATGTATTAGTATGTTTTGACTTTACAGATACAAAAACATTTGTCTTTAATGCAGAAATCCTCTACCACCTTTTCCAAGTATACAAGAGGCAAATATTTCAAGATGAAATCCAGTGTTGAGAAAACAAAACCTTTAAATTTCTGCAAACATTTATATGTACAGGAGCCTTAGTTGGCTGCTACTTTTGCAGTAGAAAAGAAGAAATATCTCTTTTCTTTCTGAACTTACTTGGTTTGGATCAGCTCTAGCTGGATCAAGCTAGGCTGAGACTCCTAAGTCTACTCTAGTTCAAATAGGGATTCTGGACATTGTCCAGAAAATTGTGAAAAATGTGAAATCTGCATCCATAGAAGGGACAATTATAAATCTGGGAGGAATGAAGGAAAATAACTAAGAAAGTTTAAGAGAAGGCTTGATTCTATTTTCTTTCTGCCTTGAGAAAAAAACTTGGAGTAGAGTGGATAGTTTCATCTTTGCTCACCATATGCAAATACATATCTGAAAGATGCATTATATGGATGGCCAACTGTTGACAGATTGAGGTAAAGAATGCTCCACAGACTGGTTATTTCTCATGTCATTGTTCTCCCAGTGGGCTTTGTTGGTTCCCTTCCATTGGAACCCAACATAAGCCAGTCTATAGGCAACAAATTGGTAATGGTCAGGATCCCTTCCTTCTTAATTCTGGCATATTTAGGCAGGTACAGTGCCAATACTAACACAAAGTGTACCTACATAAGCTGGAGATCTAAATATGATAGCGGTAGTCCAACATTATAAAAGAAGCAAGTCATGGAAAATAAATCAGTACTAAAATGCCTGAATGAATCTACAAAGACTACCGATGGAAATTGCAAAAGCCGTTAATTAAGATTCAAATAAAGGGCAAAACTATAGTATCATCAGTATATAGTTATTATTTAAAATTACAATACCCCCTGGCAGAAATTATGATTATTAAAACTAATTCAGTAGTTTATAGCTTCTTATGTAACATTTTTTTGTCAAACGAAAATTGCATGGAGAAATGTGCTTGGGCATTTTTGTAATTTATGTTTCCACCTAAAGTTGCATGCGTCCAAGCATATCATGAAAACCTTTCTTTATGATACCAGAGTTGCTCCATTCTGCTGTCAAACAAAAATACAAAGATCCCTTTCAGTTGAACTCAACTCCTGGCAGGGTATCTTGGCAGTCTTCATGAAATTGCTTGCCATTACCTTATACCAGGACGTATTTAGGCCTCTCTAATCTAACCAACAGCTCTGGAATTCTCAGGTGGTCTTCCAATCAAGTACAGATAGTCCTCATGTAGCAACCACAATTGGGACCAGCAACTTGGTTGTTACTGTGGTCACTAATTGAAAATGCAACTGTGCTTATGATTTTACTTCAGCTTTCCTTTGCTTTATAGGCTTGCAAAGGTCATAAATGTGAGGATTGGTCATAAAGTTACTTTTTCATCACCATCGTAACTGTGAATGGTCACTAAATGAGGCAGTCACGAAACAAGGACTATCTGTATTAACCAGGGCCAGCCCTGATTATCTTCTGAGATCAACCAAAGTCTGTTGGATGCTACCATCCACTGAGCTACCCCCTAAATATCTACAGGCAACTTATCCATGACTACAGGTAATGTGAGTTTCCCTTAAGAGTGGAAATGGGTTCAAATGTTAATATTTTTCTAATGACCCTCACCAAAAGCAATAATTGTTTCTGAGCGAATTGAAAGAAAATTCTGTTCTGACCAGACACAATTATATTTATAGAAGCAGCACATCCTCAGAGAATCTATTTACATTTTTTTATTAATTGTAGTTGCAAACAAAAACAAGAACACATGTGGTTAGATACACATCCATAATTTTGTCTGTGATTGCATCCACCAACTCTGGCAAAGCAAAGAAGATATTCTGCTTAAGTGGGCAATCAAATGTTTTGTGTTTCTACTCACTTGCCCCACAACAGTGAATTTTAATCAACCTTTAGAGAGTTAAGTATCAGGTGCTACAAAAGGTAGGGAGTGGGTTTTTTTCCTTTATAATTTTTAAATTTTTTTTTTAAACTATATCCAAATTGCACACTTTGCAAAGCCCTTGGAACAGAAGTGATATGTTGGCCCAATCAAATGACTCACATTCATGTACAGAAGAATCTCACATAAAGGCAACCTTTACAATATGTAACAAATATAACAATAACTAAAATAAGATGGCCACTCCTGTCCTCTCTAGGCATCAAGACATAAAGACCTGTTTAAGAAGAAAGATCTTGAGGGTTTTCCTAAACACCAGAAGTGACTGAGGAAGCAAGCATATCTCCAATGGAGCAGACACTGCAAGGTCGAGACTACAACAGAAAAGGCTCACTTCTGGCCGTCATCCCTTGTACTTCACATGAGGATGGGACCTTAAACAGGGCCTCTCTTGATTTGACATGAGAGGCAGAATCCTTTGGCAAAAAGTGGTCCTTAAGAGAGGCAAAACTCTACATTTAATGTTTAGGGGTTCTGGGAGTAAGATTTTTTGCAGAAAATATTTTATCTGCAAAAAAAACCCCTAGAAAAATGTTGCTACTTCTCACAAAATAAGCCTGGCTTTGCCATTCCCTGCCCTCAATATTATATGTAAATAGTAACAGCTTTGGAAAAAGTCACGTCATTTTTGCTCATTTAAATTTAAATAATCCTTACCTTTCTGCAATTCTTCCAGCTGTTTGACCGCTTCATCTCTCTCTTGTTTGAATTTGTCACACTGTAGAAAAATATGTTTTTAATATTAAAACAGGAAGACTTCTTTCTCATAATGGGCAGTAAGTAAACCAAAACTTAAAACTGAAAGAACAGCTTTCACTAAGTGTAAAGAGAACTAGTGGGTGTTAGGGAACAACCTGGCATCGGGGGTCAGGGGAACAGACAGCAGTTCCCAGGCTAAACAAAATTGTTACACCAACACAGATCACTGCCTTCCAAGGCCAACACAAGAATGGCTGAGTATGCATTGATTTGGAAATGCAGGATGAAAAACCTTAGATTTCAAACACTGGAGCCTGGGCCTATATATAGGCCTTGAATTCTGTGTGCAGCAATAGGCAAATCTTGCAAATAGCTTCATTCATGTCAGTGAATCTTCTGTTAAGTAAGCCAAGTCTTGAATAAGAGCTCAGATTCTGGCCATTTATATATACATGCTCCAGTTACACACATGCTAAGCATGTATTTTTCCATTTAAACTCAGTAGACCCATGTATGCCATATCCCAATTTCTTTCACATCCAATGTAGTTTGAATAATTTTCACATGAAAACAAAGAGCAGTCTGTTCTGTGTCTTTTATATTTTCCTGTTGTATTGTTATCCACGCTGTTTGCAGGACCGGGGTACTTCTAAGCAGAGAGTTCCATTAAAGGCAATGCAAAGCTAATCCTTCCTTCCTTCCTTCTTTCCTAAGAAAAGAAGTGGGGAAACATGAGAGGGTAATAAATAGGATGCTATATAATTCCAGGAATGTCAAGGTGATTGTCTGAATGCCTGTAAAAGCAGAAAAACCTCTGATGATATAAAAATTGTGCCTGTGACCTCATAACTATACCAGCTTACCCTGCCATTGGTGCTCTCTGCCCTGTCCATCCATCAGGGATAGATGGGCTTTCTGAAACATGTGGATTTAAGCTCATTTTCAAAGTGAGTTCTTCTTGGTCATCCCATTTTTCACTATCTCAGATAACTTATAATCACTAGCAACTCTGTATTGCACCCACTCTAACATGCAATCGGATGACTTTTGTTTAAGAACTGCCTCTGTTTCACCTACCATCACTAATAAAAAACTGTAATTGTCTAGGGCTTTCATTTTTTAAGTCTTTTCAACAGTTGACAGAACCTTTAATCAGGTAGACAAATCAAGAGAGCAGAGCTCTATTTTTAGAACCCAAGCAATGTGCCTGGAGCTGTCCCTGCTTCTGGTTTTCCTACACTGAGAATGTGGTTTAAATTCAAGTGCAGCTATAAATGCAGAGTTCCCATTGTAACTGATGATGATGATGATGATGATGATGTGCAATCTACTGTAGTTACATGGAGGTTTATAAAGACCTGACTTACAATCTAAAATATCTGGAAAGAGAGGAAAGAAGGAAATGGAGGTGTGGGTAAGCAAGAAAAATATATGTAATTAGCAGGGACAGCTCCAGGCACATTGCTTGGGTTCTAAAAATAGAGCTCTGCTCTCTTGATTTGTTGTAACTGATGATGATGATGATGATGATGATGTGCAATCTACTGTAGTTACATGGAGGTTTATAAAGACCTGACTTACAATCTAAAATATCTGGAAAGAGAGGAAAGAAGGAAATGGAGGTGTGGGTAAGCAAGAAAAATATATGTAATTATTTCAATAAATTGGCTCAATGAAGCAAGGGTTGAATATAAGCAGAAGGGGTTGCTAACAGATGTGAACATGGTCCCCCACTATGCATTCTTTATATTCATGCAAAGAAGCAAGCATTGGGCTAAAGGGTTAAATCACACTTGATGCAGGACATCCATGATAAGGATCTTCTTGATTTGTTTTTGAATATGACAACCATAGTGGGAGGAACATGAAATGAATTAGATTGTAAAAATAGTTATGGGGACATGAAGGGAACACTTTGCCTCACACTACTTTCCCTAACTGAAATACCCTGCTTAGGCTGTAATTTGCTTGGAGAGGGAAAACACAATTGCCTTCATAAACAAAGCACTTTCTGGGGCAGGGTGGTTGAAATATGAAAACAGTAAATAGTTATCCTCCCTTCATCAGGGTCGCAGTCTCAATTTGACTCAGCTGTCCTTACTTTGACCTTCTTCCTTTAACTTCAGAAATATCTATCTATCTATCTATCTATCTATCTATCTATCTATCTATCTATCTATCTATCTATCTATCTATCT